CTATTTTATACAAAATTGCTCTATTAGGTACCTTCAAGTTTTTGTAAAAAAAATGTGATATCGAATTTGACAACGACCCAATCACATTTTTGTTGGTATTTTAATTGTAGCTTTCTCTGGGCCGCATTATAAATTTTACTAATTTGAAGGTAGATTTTTGCAAATAATTTTTAAATGACTATTCCAAATAAATCGAAATTCTAGACAAAAGTACAACTTTAACGCCTCTTCAAAAAAATCTAATACAACCCTTGCCTAAAATCATCAAAAATCAAATGTAAATTCAAAATTTACATGGGATTTCCTATGTCCCGCGTTCCGATGCACCACACGGTATATGTATGTTCTTGCGGAAATAAAAGAAAAATTTTGGAACGTAACCTTTGGCAGTAGAACAGATTATTACAAAAAAAACAATCACATTACACGATAAATTGTTTTACTATCTATATTAGTATAATCTGCTGATGAGATGCTTTATAACATGTGATTAAACTTGCTGAAAAATAACAATTTCGTCAGAATTTCCGAATTTTTATTCGACTTGGCAACGTAACATCCATTTGTTTTTTTTTCCCTAGAAAAACCAAGCAGTCTGGCAACGGCGGAACGTAGTAACGATTAGCGATTAGATCAGGCGGGCGCGCGAGTACAAGGCGAAGGTTACATCGCCTAACCTTACCCAATGGAAGCTCGCAACACACACACACACAATGCAACAACGTAGCGTGGAGTGAGTGGACGACTTACGATTATAAAAACATGAAATGAATTAAAATGGGAAAACAACAAATCATTTTTTGAATTGTCGTTATTTTCAATAAGGATGCATTATGCATGAAGCCGCTATTGTTTTTCTATTAATGCTTTTTCTCTAATATAATTATTGCTACAACACGGTAGTAAAGTTTTTTTAATTAATGTCTCCTTTTTTTGTATCGGTAAGGTGTATCCGCCATAGTAGTATAATACAGGTATAGACGAAAAGTTAGTTATTCTTCAAAGCATGTAGGTAGCACCACAGTTTAAAGAATACACATATTTATATTCTTTAAACTGTGGTAGCACCCTCTACAGGTAACAGTCATACTGACGTCGAAATCGATTTTTTTCATTTGAAAAAACACCCATACACACACTGCCATTACTCGTTGACGAGTATTTGACACGCATCAGAAGATGGTTACACAAGGCGTTTTCTTTCATGAGATTTTCTGTGACTCTTTACTTTTTGGTTGTCGCTGTTAACTGAGTTTACAATTCTTCTCTATTGCATTGTAGTGTGCGCTGCTTCCTCCCACTGATTCTGAATGCTTATCCCCTTTAAGTTTTCATGGAAAATATCCTTGTACCATTTTCAAGGACCGATACGTTTGAGACGTAATGGAGCCATTTGATTTTTAAGAGTTGTCTAAGTTGTCTAAGAGTTCTCTGTTTGCAACTTGTTTAATGCGTTCATGTGTTTGCGGTACGGCACCCAGGTTTCGCTTCCATATAACATGGTGGGAAGAAATGGTGTCTTTTAATTTCCAGAATGCTCTTTGGGGCGCTGCTAATCCTGTGCTGAATTTCAGAGTCGATTTCGGCGATCGGCCTTTTTTCGAAATCAAGCTGCCGAAATTATTAATTTGGAAGAAAACCGGCAACAAGCGGCAGAAAATAATAATATTTCCGTGCAGTCTTCTGGTCGCAACGACCAACGGACGGCCAGGACGTTAGTGTGCGCTATATCATTTGATTTAATGGTTTTAGAGGTAGCTGCGGCCTGGCCGGTGCGACCTGGTCGTCAGTGTGTTCAAGCCCTAAGGCCCAAAGCATCGTATGCCCAGTTTTTGCAACTAGAGCGCTGTCATCAGTGTATTGAAGTTCTGTGATGAATTTTGTATGTGTTTTTGCCCTGAGTCCTTTTATGTTCAACAGACCGCCGTCGTGTCTGTATCTAATGCCCAATCCTCTTTCCTGCAGTTTGCTATCCACTATAAAAAAAGACCTATACATCAATTTTCACCCAAAAATACTGAAGTTACTCCAGAAATTATTTGGAAAAAAAAAAGAATTAAAAATGAAATTTCAACACCACGGTTCATTTTAGGACATATGTACATTTTTTGGAAAGTTTTTATTTATTTTTATCTGCAATAACGGACCATCGAATCAGTAAAATACTCGTAGACAACTTCAAACAAAAATCGTCTATTGACTATGTAAACAGACAAAACATTTTATTAACACAAGGTGCGGCCAAAAACAAGGCTGAGGTCACTACATTAAGCCCCACCTTCCCCTAAAAAAATATTTGGTGACCAGTTAGTTACTCTACTCTATGATATGTTCAAAATTATGTTTGCCTACTGATTAATATTTGATGTTTAAGGACAACTAACAATTAGTGGCTAGTTGTTGTTCGTGTAAATAGTTAAAAATATAATATAGCATATAGGACTTGGTTATTCGACTAATCTATCTCCTGAATTTTAAGTTTCGTATTTTGTATCATTTATTATTTTAAACTAAGAAGAGCTAAGCCTCCCAAGGCCTTCATACTTCATTTAACTTTTTGTCGAAACAAGAAATATTTAAATGAAACTACGAGGGTAACCTGAAAAGTTTTCAACATCACCATGTAGACGATAACATTCGTGCAATAAAATCTGCATAATTTGAGTCCTAAAAGACTCCTCTCGCTAAGATTTAAAACTATTTTTGATACTTACTTGTTATTTGACAGCCTTGATGTAAGATTTATTGTAAAAATAGAGAAAAACGATTATAGAAAATACATCTATAAATTTATCTTAATAGAATTTAATTATTATTTTTACGTTTTTATTTGGTGTTATTTGTCCTTTTATTCTTTAGTCATTGGCTAAACATAAATAAGAGTGTTCAGACCGTCAAAAAACTACGACCATTGTCGATAATACTGCTCAAATTCATTAAATGGTGATAGACAACCAGAGATTTAAAGTTACAGAGGTAGCAGAGGCGATTATTATGTCCAAAGAACGTGTTTGTGACGTAATCAATAAGGATTTGGGTATGATAACTGTTCCCAAAAGGAGAAGCCATTACAACAGAATGCTATGCGTCATTACTTAACAAACTGAAGGCAGTAGAAGAACATTTGGTTTTCCAAAATAATATTCTATCATACCTCTGCGATTACCATGGCGGAACTTGTTACAACGTGTTACAACTTGAACTGCTAGGCTATACTCTCCGTGTTCGCCAGATTTAGCTACCAGCGACTTAATTTTTGTTCCCCAAACTGGGTCATTGGACATCATCTTCATAAACAACTACTTTGTTGACAAAGTCACCAGGTACTATATTTGTACGAGTTGATGAAATGGAAGCATTGCTGATAGTTGAGAGAAATTTGCAGCTTCACAAGGGGGTTATATATAAAAATTAAAATACAGAAATTATGTGGTCGGAAACTTTTCAGGCAATCCTCGTACATTAATTTTCCATAATTTGTTTTGGAGTATTCTGTCTTAACCAGGCACTCCCTTTTTTCTCAATGGCTTATCGGTTCCTCTTTCGTTTTTCCTGTCCAATACGACACAACAAAGGAAAACTAAAATAAAGGAGGAAATCGATCCAGGTCGTCCGAACCGCAAACCCACTTTTTCGTTCCCATTCCGTTTTCCGAGGTTTTCCGGGAAATTCTTCGCCAGGTGGAAATATATATTCGATGTGAGTTAACCTGGATCCAGAAATTGAAATGTTTCAATGTACCTACCTATCTGCAATAACATCGATCATTCCAAATCTCAGACAAATAAAATAAAAAGAAGAAGCTTACTGCTAAAAAACGAAGGTATTCAAGATATACAAACAGGATGTAAACAGAAAAAAAATTATATCGCTATTAATTTTTTAAAAATGTTTATTAATGAAGATCGTATACATTAATATGTAATAATGATTGTAGTAATTCACTAAATTATATAGAATTTTTATCACACTTTTTAAGGATTTATAATTTTTTTTCTATTGGATATTATATTGTTTCTTTGTTTCTGTATCATGAATTCCTAATAACAAAAATTAGAATTGAAAAATCATATACGTCATCTTTCGGCCATTGTTCATTTAAAAGTTAAGAACTTGGGGTTTTGGCATTGTTTACAGTTTTAATTTATCTTGCGTGTTATTTTTATGAAGAATCTGTATTTTTGTGAGATCTTTTATAAAATTAAGTTGTAATAAATAAAAATATATTTCCTAAACTTAATATAACCTCAAACTCTTTTGAAAATTTAATTATGCCCAGATAAAGCAGGAGTACCCATCTCGTATTCTATAATTTACTGACTTATGATTCACGGTGATACACCACTGAGAAATTACACACAAAACTAAAAACTATCTAATTTTTTCTTGTTTGTGGTGGTTTTGATATAAGGTTTTTGATTAATGTAACTGGCTATGTAAATGGCGCTAACATTTCTCTATAAGGGATTAGTATTAATTGATTTAGAACATGCTTCATCACATTTTTGCATTCTTCCTTTGGACTTCCTTTAGCCCCACGTTGGGCGCCAAAAATTATGCAGCAGTTTTTTTGGTCCTACAGTTGCACCCAGGGTCAGTGGTATACAGTGTGGTGCATCGGTGTCCGTTTCTTATCTCCCGTGTTCCGATGCACCACATGGTATAACTAACAAAGTAATATTTATTAATATTTATAAACTTTATAAAATAAAATTAAGATTATGTGCGTACTTGGGATAGTGGACGACACTTGATTTTCATGATATCCTTCACATCAACTTGATAAATTAAGTGTGTAGTGTGGACGTGTTTTCCGAAATAAAAATAACACGAAACGAGGCGCAAAGTTAGACGAGGAACACGAGGACCCACCAAACTATTTTACTTCGGTTAACCTTAGCTTATACACTTCCAGTAGTGTATAGTTTGCTTGATCCAAGCTTTCATTGATATCAAAAACTGTTTTAATTAATATTGTGTTTTTCTTTTTGCAGATAGGCTGCGATAGGCCGTTGGGCCGATGATTTCCGCAGGAGTAGAAGGACGATTGGCCTACATGACCTATTCGGAACCCTGGAGCCGGAACCCTCCCAAACATCAGCCAGAGGTGTTTCTCAGGCCAGCGCCCAAGTTACTGCCTCCAGCAGCCAGGTAACTATCTGATTGATCCAGCTTTTAAACCGTTTACTCCCACCATCCACTATTATTTTGAATACTGGGTGCGCTAAAAAGTCGTTCCGTTTCAGAATACCGTTTTTAACAAGATAATTGAGAAAATTATTAAATTTCTTAAAGGTACAGAACAGAATACAGATTAAAATATTTAAAATTAATATACAGGGTGGCCCGAACTGTATTCCGGAAACTTCGGCAGCATATTCTACAACTAAAAATAAGTAAAAAAGTTCGTAAATTGTATGTCCTAAAATGCTTAGTTTCGGAAATACAGGGTGTAAAAGTTTTATTTCTATTTCGATTTTTTCCAAATAATTTCGGAAGTAACGTCAATATTTGGATGAAAGCTGGTGTCTCGGAGTTTTTTGATATGAGAAATTTGATTTTGGTGTCAATATAACTCTTACTTGTAGAGGGCGCCACCTACATATTTTTTAACTGGTTTGAAGAGTAATAACTTTTCGCCCGTACCTGCATAAAACTACTGAGTAAAAAAATATAAATTTACGACTCTTTTTACGTAAAAATGGTCTCTAGGTAAAAATCGCTACGAGTAAAGGTTTTCGAAGATTTTCCGAATACAATTCGGACTACCCGAATACAATTCCGACTTTTTAGCGTGCCATTCATCACTAACCCGCACCGCCCATCACCGGCTTGACTTGCGTCTTTTTTCTTCCCTCAGATGTACAGAGGAACAACCGTTACCATTGTTTCTTCCTTACAGAAGCTATAATGGCGTCAGCGCAGGCGGTGGTACCCTCGCCGCAGCAGGAAACGGCGGAGTACCTGTCACCGCCACTTTCCCCAACGGCACACGCATCGCTCCGTCACGTCCCATCGGCAAGTACCCATCCCCGCCGCCCACAGCGCTGCCAGTCAACCTCGCCCAGCCCAAGGAAGAGCGCGAGGACCCCCTGTCACCCTATTCTCCTTATAGGATCTTTCCACATAGTCCCCAATACAGTCCGTTTCCTTATCCAGCATTGTGTCAGCAACCGCCGTATATGTTACGAACGCCGTCCTTTCCACCGACGCCGGTCAGTCCGCAGGAGACGTTTTCGCCGGGTACGCCGACGGCTAGCAGTACCAGCAACACGTTCATGTCACCCCCGGCAACTTTCAGTCCTCCCTCGACGATAGTGAAGCATCACAGTCCGCTGGTTAGGGAGAAACGAACGCCACCCACCCCGCAGAGTCCCAGCTTCAAAGTGCCGTCGGGAAAGGAAGGTTCGATGAAGCACCGGCTTCTGACCAGACCCGAGGACGCGATCGCGCGAAATGGTCCGCTGGACCTCCAAAAACCTCCGGCGGAAGGTCGGAAACGGTTGGGGGCGACCATGTCGCCGCCGAGGTCGCCCAAGCGAGCGCTCAACAACAACGCGGCGCCGGGGAACTTCCAGAAGGGTCAGATGATCCAGCTGGCCAATGGCGAGTTTAAGCGGATCGAGGAGATGCGCACGGAGGACTTTATCCAGTCGGCGGAGAAGAGTCCGGCGCTGCGATTGGCCGAGAGCACGGTGCTGAAGATCGAGGAGGGCAGGGAGGGTCACGTGACCGTCACGTTGGCGTACAATCAGCGGAGGGCGCAGGTGAGTCTTTTTGGTCGCATGGATCGGGATACGGGCTTGCTTATTCGGGAGGTTACGGTGGTTTGGAGATGACGGGACACTGAAACATGCATGCACACTTACATAAGGCTAATTCCATGTCTTATAAATTCTACACACACACAAATAAAAATATTGTCCACTGAATTAGTATATTGTTCAATATTACCATTTTACAATATTATAAAAATGAATTGCTTTTACGAAACTATTTCTTTCCATAACTATATCTAATGTAAATACAATTTTCATTAAGAGATTATCATTTATTAAATAACCAATATACCGCGTGGTGTATCGGCATTGGAAACATAGGAAATCCCATGCAAATGTTGAACTATCCAAATATTGGCCCCCCTATTAATTTTACAGCTAAAGCTTCATGTTTATGCTTCCGTTATCCGTTGATACGATGCCGATGCACAGTGGTTCCCAGATAGGTCATTACTTAGAAATATTAATTTCATGATTTTTTTGTTTGCATGAAACTGTTGCATTTGCATTTTTGTTTTCAATTTTTGCATGAAACTGTTGCTAATACTTTTCTTATATTCCCCTGTAAACGATACATAATAATTAACAAAATCAAGTAAGCCTAGTGTGGCGCTTTTTATTAGAAATGTCACATTTTTGCTACTGGTATCAAGCTGACATAACAGTTTCCAGATAACGCCAATTAATTACTTATTTTATTAAAATTGATAAAAGCTGTTGCCTTTTCTGTAATGGATGTTCGAAAAGAAGGTAAAAAGAACTGTTTTTTCTTTTTTGCACTTAATTAAACCTAAGTAATATTAGTTTATGGCAATTTATTTGAAGGTAACAAAAATAGTATTTTTAAATTTTTGCTTGTCACTCTTTAAGACTTTTAACTACTTTCCCTTTCAAATCTTCTTAAACGGCATGAAAATACTTGTTGCTTAAAGTATATTACATATAAATTAATTGCCACTGGCTGCCACGAATTGCCGCCGGATCTTATACCGGGTGGTTAAAGAATGACTTTTTGTCTTAAAATAAAAGTAACTTGTTTTTTCCTCTTCGTGTCAACTTATTTCGTGGACACACTGTATATCAATTGGCAATAAAATTGTATTTATAAAATGAAACAACTGTCTCTTTTATTTATCATTTAAAATAAATTTGACCTCTTCAATATGAAAAAACATGTACATATGTGCAAACATAATGTGTATACCTTTGCGAATAGTTAGAACATAAAATGCAAATCACACAAACTGGGCCCAATTTTTTTAATACATATTACATTAAGTTTTTTATATACATTTATTTAGCATTTGTTATCAATTTCTATTAAAAAAGGTGCAGTCAAGCTATATCTAGATATCTAACAGTTATGACCGCGCAGCTAATTAAGGAGAACCACTGTGCGATGGTCCGAGGGCGCGGCGCGGCGCTCTGATTAGTCAAAACGTTTTCGCGCCACTTTTCAACCGTAATTTTTTTACTTCAGCCCGTCAACGGAGAAAGATCGTATGATAACGGACGTTTTGACACTTTTTTGACAAATTTAATCTAATCTTAATAAAAATATAATAGTACACGAGCTAGCAACGTCGGGAAAACGAGAACTTTAAGAAAGCCAGTTCTTTAATATATCTTTTGCTATACTCTCCTGATCAAATTGCGGGCCGTCTGGCTGCCGATAGATTACTCGATTTACTACTGCGCATCATGTCTGTACAGGGTATCCCATTTTCGTGTGGTTTATAGGATTTCTCGTTTATGCGATACAATGATGCGATTTTCACATTACTCTGTTACTTTTTTATGAAACTAAATATGCTACACCTATGTTTGTCCTAACCTTCTTAGTTCCTGAAATATAGGGAGAATTTTTGATGCGCAGTAGTGGACAGATGTTGAATACAGATATGATGCGCAGTAGCGAACGCAACGTCTACCGGCAGCCAGACGGTTCGCACTCTGTTCAGGAGAGCATAGCAAAAGATATATTAAAGAACCAGCTTTCTTATAATTCTTCGAAATCTTTATGGAAATGAAAATATAAATGACACCAATTACAAGCAAATCGTACATCATTATATTTTTTTTAATCATAATTAGTTCTTGCCTTAGTGAGTGCAGTTTTTAATATATTGAATCTTATACCCAAATAAAAGAATGTAAGTTATAAATTAAAGTATGTCAAAAAAATAAGAACAACCTAACAAAAAGGTAAATCTTCGAGATGTATACGAAAACAAGAAGTATTGATTAAAATAAGTTATTTCTGCAAATTGTTAAGATCTTCTATAGAAACTGAAAATTCCATTAGCGTAACATCGTCAAATTAAATATGCCTTAATTAAAAAATGGAAGCATACCCAATAAGAATCTCTTAAGAAATTACCTACAGTCCGTAATTTGTATTGCTTCCATTTGATACGGCTGTATTGACGTAAATTAAAGACTATTTATTTCTGAAGACCAAATATTAATTCCTTCATTCCTCTAAAGAAGGGACATTTAATTGAATTACAAAAAAATGAGGTCTTAAAATATAAAAGCAATCCATGATAAAATAACCAGTTTTATTAAAAAAATGATTCTCTCTATATTTTAAATTATCAGAATCTTGCCTTTTAAAAATCGAAGGTTAATAGGATTTATTTTCAATACTCATTAAACGTAAATTATTGAATCGCAACTGGATTAAACGATTTCTCAATTCATTTTTAATCATATTTTGAAATAAATCATTATCGATAAGAAAATTCTCATCGCTTCTTATTGCGCCGTCCTCTTACGAAGTTAAGTGATTATAATGGTAATTGTAGCTTTGGAAACCGCAGTATGAAATATTTCCATAGGTGAACGATCAAAAATTCAAGAATCTTTCAGTTATAAGCAAGAACTAGTCTTATTACTACACTCAGATGCACAAAAAAACGCAACGGAAATATTTTTCGTCACCGGGTGCGTCTCAAAAGTGGCGCAACCCTATAACTTTTTATATTTTCGGATAAAAAAAAAACGAGATTTGGTATATTAGTATGACATAAATTAGGATTGGTTGACGTATTCAGTTGTTTTTGGTCACTTCCTGTTTCACCGAAAATGACTACAACTTTTGATTTTTAAATGGCATATCTTTGGTATTTTTTTACTTTATTCGATAGAAGATATAGATAGAGAATGGCATTTAAATGGTATTCACGGTATATTTTTATATATTATTTTTATTTATAGAAAATGACACTCAATGAATAGAATGAGATCATATGTCAACTTTAGACATTTTAGCTTTAAAAAAATTGTATTTTAAGTTTCAATCTAGAGTGCCATGGCTGTGTTAAACACACTAATGTTTAATCAAGAAGCCTTGGAAAAATAGATTTGCTCGTCTAATATTTTTCGTGTCTTGTCCTGGTGTCGTGTCGTGTCCGGTTAAAAGATGCAAAAATCGTATTTTATTCATATCTCAATTTTTTCAAATGGAACAAGGGTGGCTCATTAAGATATTTGGAAAAGGCATTTTTTTACAAATAATTTCGTACCACACACTTGGTATTTCGTGTAAAATTGTCGTTATGAATCCCATGATACAATTTCAATTAAACCATATCTGTACGAAAATGTCAAAAGTTGACATATTATGATATGTCATTCTATTCAAAATGTCATTTTCTATCGAATAAAGTAAAAAAATACCGAGGGTGTCATTCAAAAATCAAAAGCTGAATCTGAAGAAATAAAAGAGTTATAGAGGTGAGCCACTTTTGAGACGCATCCGGTATATTTTAATTTTTAGCCCTATTTTCATAGCCCTATTTTAATAATTTTTTTTAGCAAACTATACAGGGTTGTTCACCACATACGACACGGAGTATTGTAGCTAAACGATTAGATTTTTACAAATTGTAAGTTTTGGGTTCGTTGAAGGACTATTAGAGCTACAATTTAAAAATATTTTTACAAGATACAGAGTGTCCCAAATAAATAAAAATATCAAAGTTGTATTATTTCAAATGGAACACCCTGTATATTACATTTACATTTTTAGTTTCTACGATTAAAATAAAGGTAAATTTGATAAGGGTTTATTACACTTAAAACCTTACCGTTTTTGAAATATTTTCAATTTTGTGAAATTGCAGTCAAAATTTTAAGGCTTCATTTCTCCAAGGGTATAAAAGTTTTTAATACTAAATATTTACTGAAGTTTATTTATTGATCAGTTATTGTGTTGCAATAATAAAAATTATACTACCTTATACAGCGTGTCTAAAATTTTATTTTAAATAATTACTAGCTTTAAACGGCAATAACTTGTTTAATTTAAATGGAACACCCTGTATATTTTATGAGAATCAGATGCATAATTTAATTGTCTATCAAATTGTATTATACCATTTTTTACCTATAGCTTCAAGTTTCTGTAGAAAATGCATTTCCTTGTAATTTTAAATTCATTTATCAATATACCCATGGAATACTGACATTTTAGATTATTTTTAAAGATGTACCAAATTTTTAAAGAGTACAGACACTAATATTGTCGATATAGTTTGTTTATTTCATTAAAAAATAAAAAAAACTGTTTAAGTATTTGTTAGAGGACCAATTAATATGATTCCAGTATTCAAATTACATTAATTGATTGTTTGCGTTGATTAATAATAATTGCTCCAAAAACTAAAAAACTGAATTTTTATGTGTATTAGACAGTGTGGTAAAAAGTAACACCTTAAAAATTATATTTCATTTTTTGACAAGTGCTTATTTGTAACAACAGAGACATTCATTTTTATAACTTATTATTATATTGATTTCTGATTCAAATCCACATTTATTTAGAATAATTTATTCACGAACATAATTAAGTATGTAATTAATTAGTATTTGGGCGGAAATAATGGTGGTATATTTAATTAATGGTATACTCTTTTATGAAGATGTAAATAGTTTTCTTGTTGCATACAAATGGGCTAGTAATATTATCATTTTGTTAAAAGCCA